TTGTCTGCTTGGCCTTGATTTTGACTAGTGATGCCATGTGACACCGCTCCATTCACTGGTGTTTAGACTTTGGGGTCATCTGAGTAACATACAACTCATCTCCTGTGAGAATTCTTTTTAAAAATTGATCACCTTCATTATGATATCGGTCCACAAAATCAAGACAAGCCATTTTCATTTGGTGTTCCTCAGTAAGCAGCCTGGGAAGCCAATGTGTACACAGTTTGTAAAATTGTAAATTTTCAGATACAATTTTGTGCAAAGTTGCCCTACCTACATTTGGAAATTCCAGTATTAAAGTTAAATTTGTGAATTGCTGGGTTTCCCGAATATTTTCCTCTATGGTTTTCACCAAATCTTCTGTGATCACTGATGATCTGCCTGATTGTGGTTCATCATTTACATTTTCCATCTATTTTTGAAAGCTCTCACCCAGTTATGCACTTTGCTGTCTGTCATTGCATTGGGACCATACACATCACTTATTTGTCAATGAATTTCAGCTGCTAAAACGTTCTTGCTGTCAAAGACCGAATCACTGACCGTATTTCACAGTTGGTGGGCTGATCAATTGTTTTAAACATTTTAAACTGACACTGTAACACACTGAAACAATATCAATGCAAATGGCATCATTTCATCAGAAAGGTGTGCTGGGAGTTGGTACCCATGCAAGTTTCAATTTTCGCGTGATATTTCATTAGCTATGGCAATTCAGACCTTAGTTTCTGAATAACTCTGGTATATATGCACACACAGTGTCCACAAAATTCCTTATCTGACCTTTTATTTTCTCTATCATTTGCTGTATACATATACTTCCGATGCCAAAATTGTTAAAAGTGATTCAAAGATTCATATTTTGGCATCTTTGAATTTAAACAAACAAATTTTGTAAATAAAATCTAATGTTTTATACATTCCTCCAACATTTAGGAAAATTTTGTACAAGTTATGAAAAATAAAACACAAAAAGTTTGACTCTTGTGTGACAAAAATTGATCGAGGTAGTTGATATTAAAATTGAGAATGATATTCAAGGCCAAATTCAGTACACAAAATGAAGAGCAAAATGTTTCCATTTGTACATAACTAAAAATAAAAGATTGCTTAGAAAAAGGTTTCTGATATTAAGATTATTCGATGAGCATTTCTATGCAGATTATTATAAAAAAATATTGATCAGTATAATTTTTTCTTTAAATGGAAATCTTATTCACAAAATCTTATAAAATTTGTTTTCTTAAAAACTCTAGCAGACTTCGGTATTAGCATGTAGTTCACTTGTAGTATTATTTGCATTAATTAAAAATGAAAAATATTTGTACCATAATAATTTTTTATGATTACAATAAAACTTCATGAGAATATTATTAACATGCTGTTAAACTTCTAAATTCAATTTTAAAAATTGTTTTGGCCTACCAAATGTAACAAAATTATAAACAAGCTCTTAACCTCTTAACCTATGATTTAGATTTGAAGATGTTGGGCCGAAATTGTATACAAGCGCGCACGGCGTTTGGGACATTTGCATGACTTGTGTAACACGCTAATCCGTGCAATCGTAAACATGACGAATTATGTAATTTTCGAAGAAAGTATAGGTGAATAATTATTTATGATACATCCGATGATCATCAACTACCAGAGTACTGGCTTTGGAAAGAAATATGAAATAGTTTAAAAATCTGGAACTAAACGATGACTCCTGGCATAAGATGGAAGCCTTATGTCAATTAGGAGGAAGTAGAGGAGAATTTGATATATTTAATCTAATATTTGATGACATATTTTGGAACAATATTGTAACGAAATGAATCAGTATGCAGATCAAGTACGAGAAAATCCACATAGAACACGAATGTGAAAAGTGTAAAGTTCCGTTACATGTACCAGAATGCTTTTAAATATATCATGTTGTTACAGATTACTGATTTTGTATTTTGGAGTTTTGTATCAATAAACATTTTGTAATACTTGCGTCTACCACAATTATTGCATCAGACTGTAATTGCGTATCAAATATTCCATGTAATATTCACTTCTGGCCCAATCATCGTACGCGGGCTATGCCCGTGAAAGTTAGGTTTGGCCCGACCATCGTATACCCATGAAAATCAGGTTTGGCCCGACCATTGTACACAGGCTATGCCAGTCATTGTAGATTTAGGGGTTAAGGGAGGCAATCAACCTTTTTTAATTTATTTATTAACCAACCCTAAATGCAAATTCATAATGGCATCAAATATTCCAGATTTTCAAATTAAATATCTCAAACAATTTTCGTATTATGGAGTCAAACCTTTTGTGTTTTATTTTTTATAATGAAAATAAAATTTTCGTAAATATAATAATAAGGATCGGAGGACTAGTGCAACAGGAAAGTTGTTATTACAATTTTTAGAATAGAGAGGGGAGAATTAAGGTGTTACTGCTATTTTAAATTATAACTTTATATATTATGTACATTGTTTTTATCTTATATATATATATATGGGCCTCCACTTTGACCAGGACTATCCTGTTTGATGATTTAATGCCTGCATTGCGGCCAGTTGGCCATTTTGTTCGGGTTATTTGTTAAAGTTTTTAAATTCCAAATATACACTATTGATATAAAGATTTTCAGCAATTTATGCCAGATGTCTTTCTTACATTCAACTATACGAAGGCAATTTTGGTAGAGCAAAATCTTTTATTTGGATAAACAACCGTAAATTAACATGGTCTGAAACTGAAGCTTCAGATGAAAAAAATTAATGCAACTGTCACAAATAATACTATGAACATGGATCAATTTTTACTTCCTTGTACAAAGTAAAAAGGAAGTATTGTAATCGCGAAAAGTTTCAGCCAGCATATTTCAACGAAAATATCTGTTTGACCACTATCGAATGTAATTTAACGATTTTTTGCGTGATATCTGTACGTAAGGACAGAATAAAAGACTCATTCCAAAAAAAAAAATTTAAAAACTACTTTAAAATTAATTCTGAAGAATTTTTCGTGGCGCTTACGAACGTATGTACGTACATACGTATCTCTCAATCAAAAATGAGTAGCCTCAGAACGTTGAAATTTTGTTATAGGACTGCTATAACCTGTAGATGTGCACCTCGTATTTTGGTTGCGATCGGCCGCATCAAACGTATGTAAATATATTTATATATATATCCACTCTGTTACCCGGTTTAGTGATCTCAGTCTCTTTACTCTTATATGTTTGTAAATTGTACGTATTTTGCTTTAAAAGTAAGTGCATTATGTTGTTTTTATCTTCCAGTAAAGATTTTTATGCCTTTCGTAAATCTGTATGCAATATTTTTAGAATTATCAACAATTTTAAAGTTGTTTAAGTGCCGCTAAGCCTTTTTTTTTTATGGCGGCTATTGATTGTTTACATTTGAAACAACAGACTAGTGGATTTGTTGCCAATCTAGAGAAACTTAGCTTCGCAACAACAAAGATAACGCCTTCATTTATTATTGCCAATTAAATCATATTTAATCCTTTCTGGAATTTTTTCCAGGAAATAAGTGTTTAAGATTTACTTCGTAATTTTTAATATAGATATTTTGAGTTTTTATGTAGTTTTGCCTTCTTGCGAAGTGAGAACTGAATTAATTGAATGAGAAATACTCAATCGTCTATGAAAAACTGTTTCTTTTTTTGTTTTGTTTGCTTAATTTCTTTTATACATCATTCTAGCTTTATTATAGTATTTGAATAGAACATGTGGCAACAATTAGCTAATTCTATTCTTTAAATGATATAAATTTTCCTCACGGACTGGAGGAAACAGCGTTCGCCAAAGTCCTCACTTCCTTTCTTCTTGCTCAAAGCAAGATTGCTACAGAATATAAATTTTGTGCATTATGAAATTGCAATAATTATAATATGAACTTTAAAATTGCAATAATTATAATATGAACGAAATATAATACTGTTAAGTGAATCTAGCACCAGAGTGTTGCTATGGTAAACAAATACTAGAATGAATTTTAAAGAATGCATTTATTCTATTGTGGATTATGCGCTTTCGGCGAAGTAGATTTAATTCAATCCAATAAGTTTAAATGAAATGCAAGAAAAAATGCATATAATTTAATATTCCGTACAAGGAAGTCATGTGGTGTACACATCAGATGTTTTGATGTAGTAGTGACTACCAAAGCTTTTTGCTCAGCTAATTATGAAACTTTGGAAAATAAAAGTTATCTAGGAAAATGAATGCAACTTTTCAGTCATTTAAATATATATATATATTTAATTGGCTACTCTTGTTTAAATAGCAGACTACATTGTCAGAATATGACGCACACTGGCACCAGTTGAAAGAGCTTCATAAATGATAAATATCATGGCCTGCGGAACGAAGTAAAGTGGCTGAATTAACCATAAAAGCTTTGTGCTGCTAGATTTACATTGAACTTGTAGAGATTTTCTTTATGCCATTATTTTTTTTTTTTAAATTAAAGAAAGTTAGTAGTAGTGATAAATACAAATAACTTCATAATAATATAAGGTATGTTAAGTTGAGTTATCAAAAACTTCTTTTAACTCATAGTTTTTGGTCAACAACTTTATTTAGCTTTTTCAATCATAAGTACTTACCCTAGTAAGTTGTGAGTATTTTCTCAAAATTGGCCCACTGTATTATCCAGTATTTGAGCAAAAATATGGTGATAAGTCTCTATCTATCTATATATATATTTCTTGACAAAAGACATAATATTAAATAATTCTTAGCAAAAGACCATATTTATGGATTCTAAATTTTATAAACTTCTAAAGAGCATCAAGCATGTTGCTTGTATTGTGTATAATATGCTTTGCCATTTATGCAAAATATTGTATTATTTTATGTGAGAAATACGTCTGATATATAAAATACTATTAAGGAAAAATATAGTGGTTTTCTTTTTTACTATTAGTTTTTCTTTTATTTATTTTCTGTTATTCAATATTATAATTTTTCACAATTTTATTCTTAACAGTTATTCCTGAAGGTGTAAGGAAGGCACTGAATATTAAGCTGTGAAAATGCTGCTACATATGTTGTAAAATGTTTGAAATGATAATTAAAATTTATTTCTTCTTGTTATTTCCTTCCTTCTTGTTATTATAATTAGTTAATTGTTATGTAGAACTTGATCATTTAATCATGGTATTTTCTTAAATAAATCTCACTGAAAACTGTTATTTTCTGTCTGTTTACATTGAAAAGATGGTACTCTTCTGTTATCAGGACCAGATTCAGAAATGTATGCATGTATGCATATGTATATTCATATGGATGCATGTATGTGTTTACATTTACACATATTCACACTAATACACTAACACACTTTAAGATGTATACATACAAGTTTAATACTTAATTTTAAGAGAAATATTAAGGTTGCAATTTAAATGAATTTTTAACAATTTTTGCCTTAAATATTGGTGTAATTATATTTGAGGCTTTATTATATTTGAGAAGCATTACGGTTTTAAATTTGTGAGTTATTTAGTATGTTTAATACTAATAATAATATTTTGTATTTTCTAATATCAATTACAATCCTATTGTTTAATTTTTTTCTTTGTGACAAGGCATCCATCATATATTTCCTTTTGGCCCAATAAAGATTAGTCGCATAATAAAAGTTGCCGTGATAGCAATGATAAACACTAAGCAGTAGCTACCAGAAAATTTTTGATTTTATTATTTATGTGTAAATAATCTGACAACATTTTCTATTGATATCATTAATAAAACAGTAAAGCATTACTTGAACATTGTTAATCACTAACATCTTTTATTAATTTTAGTTTTGAAAAATATTTTTCTTAAAAAATGCAGATTAAGCAATGTAACTAAATTCATAATATTTGAAAGCATTTGAGAACATATTAGTTAATTTGTTTTTATATAAATGTTTTAAATGTTACTGCAAAGAGACATATACAGGATGTCCCTAAACTTTAGAACTGAATTCATAAAATACCGAGATCCAAAGAAAGTAACTTCATCACTGTATAATTTTCTACATTCATTTGCTTTTGATGCTCTGTAATATTTGATATACTCATAGAATATCAAATTGGATCCGGCTTATTATTTGCAGACTGTTAGAGCAATTTTATAAAAGTAAGCTTGAACTTTCGATTATGTCAAAAAGAATTTCTAATTCTGGAGCTACCAAAGGATCTACAAAGCAAAAGCATGTTTAAATGTCCATTGAACAAAAAGTGGAAGTAGAAAAGACATCCAACACAAATGCAACCGTCCTCTTTCTTCCTCATGCCAAATCTACGCCAACCTTATTTCCCATACTTAAAATGAAATTAACCAGCCTGCCACAATACAAACTTTTGTGTAGAGCTCATCTTGTGGGAGCCAGACAGTTATATGGTTTGTGGTGTGAGGTAAACATTCATTTGATGTATCTACTTCATTATTCATCCATTATTATATACTCATACTTTTTGTACACTGTTTCCTCTGTTGTAATTTTTAAATACCTCCTTATTTTTACCCCATAATGAGTGATCAAGTAAAAGACAATTTTAATACTGAATAGGAGGATTTGTATTGATTTGTCACTGTAAAAGACAAATATATTTGTTTGTTGCTTGGAAGTAATGTCCAGTGCCAAAAAATTGTAATGTTGAACATCATTTTATGACAATTATGCTACTTTTCGTGTGAACCGTCCACTTAAATCTGAAATAAGACAGAAAAGAGTAGATCAGATCTGTCGACTCAACAGTCAGTTTTAGATCTCTGTTAAGTTCTAAAATTGTTTCTTTAAAAATTTCTCACGTCCTTCCAAAAAAGGAAAAGCTTTTCCAGGATGAATGGTTGTTAACCCGTTATATCCCAAATTACTTAGTTTTTGAAAAAGAGTGTGTAACTTTTTATTATACAGTACCAATTGCGTAATCCGGACGTCCATTATCCGATATGATCTATAATTCGGACCTCAAAGCCGCAAACTTTTTTTTGTATGATTACGCATGTGTGTTTAATGTATAACAGATGGTATAAGCCAGGCTAAAATTACCTTTTCTGATTCTAAGGCATTTCAGTTAATGCTGCAGATTGCGCTGTTCCTTAATCCGGCTTATTATTTTTTGCAGACTGTTAGAGCAATTTTATAAAAATTTGTTGAAAATGTCACCTATTGTAACCCTTTTTGAACATGAAGAGGTAGTAAAGCTTCTAAAGCACATGTAAGAAAGCGATGTAATCTAAGTACTGAAATTTTTATACCAATAAATGAATAAGTAGAAGAAAAAGTCTGTCCACATTTGTACACATTTCTAATTTCAAGGAGCAAAAAATTCTCCCTTTTCCTTTCTTGCAACAAATAGATCAAGTCTAAGGGCTGTTCACTATGGGCTTTATCTGAACTAACAGAAACATCTGACACAACCAACCTTGCTTCAAAACCAGTTGTTTTTTTCCCCCATAGTGAAGAGAGTTCTAAAGTTCTTTCTTCATAGTGGAGCGAGTTGAAAAATCTGAAATTCAGGTATAGCGGAGCTACTCGACACAGAGAACCAACTTCACTAGCTCAGATAAATCCCAATGTGAATGGCCTTTAAGACGAAGGGGCTAATCTAACAATCTCTGGACGTTATGCAAAAAGGACTATGTGCATGTATGTGTATATGCGTGTATGTGTACTTTTGGTTTGCTTGCGTTTCATTTAGTATTTAAAAAACAAAACATTAAATAAACCGCCTCATTTTAGAAAAACTGACAACCCCGATATTTAATTTGATTTAGAAAGAATTCTTATGATAACAGTTAATATACACTGGTGTGCAAAAATTAAGGACGAAGTCGAAAAATTAGCATATCAGCTGAACGAAAGGGAGAGGACAGAAGACATCAGGAGATTAAGTAAGGTGATGTACGTAGCCCATGCGCAGATCTCGGTAGACTAATGGGAGTGTCTGCGTTAAAATTTGTCGTTAGATCAGTATTCTGGCAAAGAGATTGCACTGTAAGCATTAAAATCCCACCGACTTTCTTGCTCGCGAGAAATGGCACAATCAATGTAGACACCTCTGGATGCTTTTACCCAAGGTCGAATCTTGGGAAGTTGGGGAAGGCCGCAGTGGACAATGTGGCTGCAGAGTTCGAATTGTCACAGCATCGTTTCACGACTTTGAGACAATTTAAAACTACAGAACAGCTATCCGGGGGTTTGTAGTGGTCGCCCAGGAAACCACACCCGCAGATGACCGTTATATGCCTTACGCCAGAAGAACAGGCGGCAGACAGCGGGAGAAATCGCTAGACACACGACACCAGGCGATGGACGACGATATTCCCGTTTACGTGGCCAGAGAAGAAAGTGGTCTGTTTGCACGAGCCCTGTACGTGTGGACCTCTAACTGCCCCGGAGAAGGCGTCTCTGGTGGGGAACAATGAATGGGATATCTTACAGATGAAGCAGAATCAGTCTGAGTAGCGAGTCTCATCGCATATTCTCTGGAGAAGCGGGGAAGCCGCAATCATCCTCGAACAATCATTGAAAGGGAGTATGTAGGTGTTCTCGTTTGGGGAGGCAATCATGCTGGTAGTCGTACAGACCTTCACATCTTGACGCAGGTTCAGTCAAGGGACCGTTATTGTAACGAATTCTTCTCCATATGTGCTCTTTTTAGGCGCTATGTCCGCAGTTCCTTTTCATGGACACAATGCCCATGTCATCGCACAGTAGCTGCCGAAACAGCTCTTAGAGAGTGAAAATTACTTATGGATTGGCCTGCACGATCTGGATCTCAATCCATCGAGCTGTAGGGATTTTCTAGGCAGACGCTTGGCAGCTCGTACCTTACCACCATACGATTCCGGAGTTCGATTGCGCGCAAGACGAATGGGCAGCAATGCCTCAACAACTCATTGACACCCTCATCTCAGCATGGGCAGACGCTGTGAACCTGCCTAGCAGTCGGGAGATCATATACCGTATTAAGACCGGATGTTTCTTGCGGAACACCCATCACGGGAGTTTCAGCCTTCAGTCGCCTGCGCTCCTGCTACTTTTTCAATAAAAACTTCTTTTTATCCCTGATTTCTCTTTATTAAGTGTTGCTTACATTACTCATGCCTTACGATTGGGGTATTAAATGTGTGATTTGGAAAGCTTCTGTACAAAGTTATATTGAAAAAACCGTCTCGTCCTTAATTTTTGCACACCAGTGTAGGATGAACTATCAAACAAAAATACATTAGGAAATAAATCTAAAATACGGTTAAGTTAATTGACTATTGCGCTTTACAGAAACCTACAGAATTATTTTAAAGCAATTCAAAAACATCATCACGCGGAAACAGAAAAGAATAGATCTATTTTCTCATACGCTTTGCAAGTCCCCAGTAAACAAATTCTCGCATTTTTGGGCACAAAGTAAACAAAGCTCATATATACCTCAGTACTTGACCGAGATTTCGATATAGAAACTTTTCTGAATGCAGTTGTCAGTGATTAGAAATGGACTTTATTAAAAAATATTTCATTCATTGCTTTATCATCCTTGAACGAGACCTTCGCCGCCACGGGCGCCTTTACTGGAGTGTCCTATCCCCATCGATGCTTAAGTCGCATTTCGATCGTTGTTTTCTTATGATGCGTGAAGGCATATCTTATGTTTCTTGAAGAGCAATTATTATGATCTTTTCTATGTGATAGTCCTTGATAAGCATTTAAGTTGTTTATTGTGCAATAATTCGCTGTAGGGATGACACTAGCAATTGGAAGGCCATGGCTGGAAGGTCAGATCGGGAGTACTTACGGGCACTGTTCGGCGACAAGAGAACTAGCGTCCTTCATTGCTGATATCCGCAGGAAACTGGGCGAAGGGAAAGCTGTACTGACCTAGCAGGGAACTGGGCGAAGGGAAAGCTATACTGACTAAAGCTTCAAGCAGCTTTGATACTGACTGGCTGGAGTCGAAGATGGTCAGGTGACACTGGAACGTCCACTGGTTGGCTGAGGTGGAGCTGCATTATGATAGGTTGAGAGGTGTCACATGCAAGCAGTGATTTTTGTGTATTCAAAGTGTATTAAATAATTAAACTGTAAGTTTTCATATGAATATTATTATTATTATTAAATTATTTATTTATTTATTTATTTTTTGAAAATTGTTAGGTAAATAAATCAAGAGCTACGAAACTTCTGATTACTTGATTCTAAAAA